GCAGATAGTGTAGAACCTTCGGGCGGACTACTTAAATAGGTACTCAAAAGGTGCATGTGTGGCTTGATGTACTATCATTGTAATTATATATAAAACTTTGTCTATACTCTAATAAAAAGTTTCTCAGACCAAAGAGGTCACCTTAATACCAAAAAAAACAAAAAAAAAACAAACTATTAACCATATCTAATTATTACTACAATAATAATTAACTCATGTCAAAGAGTAGTAAATTCAAATCACTCAAGTTACAAGTTAACAAGTCAAATTACTATATGATATAAAAAATTATTGTCCTAGTTGAATAGAGACAATTCTAATAATATATTTTGTAGGCATTTAATACTCTTACTAGTTCTTATAGAGATCTCTATAATTATGCTATTTTACATAATCAATGGGCCACCTTAAAGAAAATTGCTAAATTTCTTGAACTATTTAAGGATTTTACGATCAAAATATCATCTGGCACAAATAGTACAGTTTCTAAATCATTTTTTTTTCAATATAATTATCAATCATGTTAAAGACATAATCTTAAATGTTAAACCAAAAAGTTAATTATACTCTATAACCTTGGATATTATTATAATTTATAATTTATAATTATTTACTTATAAATAATTCAATTATTTAGCTTCAACACTCTTTATAGCAGCTACGGCGGCAAGAAAAAAACTTGTTCAATATTATTCTAAAACAAATACAATTGTAATGTTATGTGTGGCTTTAAATCTGAGAAGAAAATTTTAATACTTTATAAAAAAAGAATTTTCTGAATACAAAATTAATAAAACAAAGCTCTGTAAATTTTTTTTTAATTTAACTGTTTAACTGTATTTCACATCATGTGATGATAATTGTATAATTCTTGGGATAATAATTTTATCTTATAGTCAACTTTTTATAAGCACATATTCTCGAAGAATATCAACACAGCTATGAGCATTAATCTTATAGACAGTATTAGAGTATAACAGAATTAGGTCATATATTGTTGCTAGAATTTCCCAACTACTAGCGTTATATAAAAATTATTAAACAGATTAAATGATATACATTTATAGAGAGAGGAGATGCACTTGTAGAGTGCACTTATGAGGAATTGACTGTAATTTACAAATCTATTGTCCCATAGCGAAAGGGAGAATGAGCCAAAATTAAATTAATTAAAATAAAATTATTTTTTAAATGAAGTATTAATTAATCATTTTTATTAGCCTATTAATCAAATAATTATATCAATTAGAACAGAGTGAAGCCTGCATTATAAGCTTGTAAAATCTGCTATGTTGATTATATTTCATTATAGCAAATTTTACTAGCTCACAAATCAGATTTCAGGGTATGAAATGCAATTATTTTTTTTTTTAGGAATTTTATACTTATATAATTTTTTTTTTTAGAATGTGTGATCTTTTTAAAACAGTATATATACCTGTTGCTGCCTTTAATAATCTAGGTACTGACAATACAATAAAGTCAACTATATGAATATTGTTGAATGAAGACTTTAATGAAGACAGTAAAGAATTTAATGAAATTGAAAGCTACATCACTAAAAAACTTGCAAGTAAAGAAATAGATGTGTTAACATAGTAAAAAGTGAGTGGTAGTAAATATTTTATCTTATTAAGTAGTTTATTGATATTAATATAATATTTTTAGATATACCAAATCCTTGTCTTGCTCATATAGCAAGAGATTACTTTGCAATCCCCATATCCTCTATTGCATCTAAACACATCTTTTCTGCTGCCAGAAATATAATAATGAATAAGAGATCTAGTTTAACACCTAAAACTATAAGAGTGGCACAATGTCTTTGCTTGTGAAAGATAGGACCTTTAAAAGAAAAGCTAGAAAGTTTGTAATAATTATTTCCTATATAATTAAAAGTATATAAGCATCTGATTTTTTTATCTTCAATAAAAAACAACTCATCGGGTTTATATTTTCAAGATCTCAAATCGTTAAAATCATTCATTATTATTGCTATTTCTTAACTCTGTATTAATTATAAACCTAATATATTTTATTTTACAAAAAGTAAAGAGGGAGAGATTTAATTAGTATGCAATATCCTTATCTGTTATATATTATCCCTT